CAATAGCGATCAAACTCAGGCCAAGAGGGCTTCTGGACAGATACAGGGCGGCGTCCAGAAGCGTCCAGAAGCGTCCCATGCGAAGGCGCACCTAAGTTGGAGGCAGATTGGCCCTAGCGGACGCTCATGGTGCAGCCAGAGGTCGCGGTGGGTGGCGGAACGGGAGGACCCAGGGAGTTAAATACGAAGTGTGTGTGTGTGGATGAGAGGATTGAAGAAGGGCATTTCAACCGTGCGGTTGGTACTCCAGATTTCGTAATAAAAGGCAGGTAATCTCAACCCTCCCAGACGAGAAGTTTTAGACCCTCCCAGACCATCCACGAACGGCGGGATTTTGCCCAGAACCCCCCGAACCCTCCAAGACAGCTCAAATCAGACCCCCCCACAAATGTGACCCCCTCGACTTTATTATGGAATCCAGAGTATCTTACACATTCCTCAGTGGGGTGGCGCATCGATTCGCCGATGCCGCCGACTCATGGTGTAGCATCGCTGGAGTTTGCCATGCTGAGGGGAGCCCTGGATGAGGGCGTAAAAGCAATTGGGGTGATACGTGTCAAAGCGAAGCGGTGATTGGTGTTCCCACGGAGCCCCCAAGAATTGCCACTGGGAGCTCTTGGCCGAGACTCCACCCAAAGTTTACCTCGACGCCCGCAAACACGAGAAGGCCATGACCACGGAAGGCATCCAGACGTCTGTGTGACGTTGAGCACTTGGGGGGGCTCCCGTGAGCACCTTCGGAGACCGTATGGGGATCTCCTTCGGGGATCCCTGGGAGGCTTCTGGGGGCTTCTCTCGGGGACTCCCGGGTGCCGCTTGGGGCTTAGTGGGCCCTGGAAACGACAGGGCCGTTTTTTTACCGGTTCCGTTTTGCCGTTTTTGTTGCCGGTTCCGACGCCGTGTTTTGACCGGTTCCGGCTCCAGTTCCGATCCTGGAGCCGTTTTTGTTGCCGTTTCCGGTCGCCGTTTTTTTGCCGTTTCCATTTTCAATGGGCATTTTTTTGGAAACGGTGAAAAAACGGCCCTGCCGTTTCCGGGGCCCACAAAGGCTTGGGGGCCGTAGGGCAGATTGGGGCGGTGGGGGCGCCATCGCGGGGCCTGCGGCACATTGGTCCCCGTTCTCGGGCTCTGTCGTGGGCCCCCATTGGGGCCGTCTGGGAGCCCGCGTGGGGCGCCCGCTGGATGCCCTCTCGGGGTAACTGCAGCCTTTCTGGGGCCACGAACGAACGAACTGCCATAATGGAGGATGACGATTAATAAATGACCGGGGGTCGTGTTCACGCGGCGGCGCCCGGGATGACGATTAGAAAAAACCGGCCGCGGGCTGGAAAATTATGTTGTTAAATCGTTCTCATCCAGTCAGAAAACTGTGCAGAAATAGCAGAGAACTTTTTGTTTAATCGTTCTCTTCCATGTTTTATTAACCGCCATCCCACATTACGCCGGAGCGCGTGGGCAAAAGAGAATGCCAGCCTGATCTCGCCGCTTTGCGGGAGCGACTGCACGTCGGCTGTCTCATAATGCACAGCGTGCGCGATTGGAGGAGGAGGAGGAGGAGCAGCAGCAGCAGCAGGAGGGGAGGGATGAGGAGCCTCCTTGGGCGATCCTGGTGCCAGCTTCATGCCCCAGAAGGACATCGGAAGCGAAGTGGCGAGAAATGCGAGATCCTTGGAAGGCCAGACTTAGGCTACGACATGCTTTGGGCTTTCTCGGGGGCCTCTCTGGGGCTGCATTGGGGCCATCTTGTGGGAGACCACCAATTGACCCCCGCGCTTAATCGACCCCCGCTGTAAACGATCACACTTATGTTGTTTCGAGCGATCCCTACCGACACCTTCGGCGTTGATTCCCAACCGTGCGCACGTCGTGCTTGAAATGTATATGAATGTTATGTGCTTTGATGTTGTGCTATGGTTTGATATGGTGTGTCATGTTATGCTCTGTCATGGGAAATCGTGTTAGATTGTGCGAAGTTGCGTTGTGGCGTATGTGTGTGAATATTGTGATATTGTCTGTATGATCAAGTATGCCATAGTTAGTGTGTTGTGCTATGGTATGTCTCACCGTGATGAATAATAGTATGTCGCGCTCTGCCATGTTATGATGTCTCACATGTGACGCGATCGTATATGTCATGCTATACACGCGGTGATGATGTGCTATGTTACGTTGTGGTCTGTAAGTGTACAATATGGTGTAGTATGGTATGACATGATTTGCTGTGGTATGACATGGATACTCCGATATGTAATGGCATGCGTTGGTATGCTGTGATGTGCCGTGAACTGCTATGCCATATTGTGTAAGGCAGTGACATGTTCTGTGTTGGCATGCTCAGTTATGCGATGGTGTGGCATGGTGTACTTGCGCTGTTATGTTATGGAATGCGATGTGCTGTGAAGCTGTGACATGGTGGTGCACTGTTCTGCCATGGTCTGCCATTCTATCGTATGGTATGATCGGGTGTGGTCGTTTAGGTGGTGTGGTGGTTTGTTCTGTTCTGTCATAGATTCTAGTATTGTGCTACACTGCGTAATGTTACGTTATATTTCAGCTCTGTCATGTTATGAGTTGTCGGTGCGAGGTGGGACACTCGGGGACACACGGGGGGCCTGGGGATCTGGCGGCCGCGGTATGCAGAGTGGCGCGAGGCGTGACCCTCGGGGACAGTCAGGGGGACCTTGGGGCCTGGCGGCCGCGGCATGCAGAGTGGGCGAGTCGGCGCGAGGCGGGACGCTCGGTGACACTCGGGAGACCTGGGGATCTGGCGGCCGCGGTATGCAGAGCGTCGCGAGGCGGGACTCTCGGGGACACTCCGGGGGCTTGGGGATCTGGCGGCCGCTGTATGCAGAGCGGCGTGGTGCGGGACTCTTGGGGACATTCGGGGGACTTGGGGATCTGGCAGCGTGGTGCGAGGCGGGACTCTCTGAGACACTCCGGGGGCTTGGGGATCTGGCGGCCGCTGTATGCAGAGTGGGGTGGTGCGGGACTCTTGGGGACATTCGGGGGACTTGGGGATTTGGCAGAGTGGTGCGAGGCGGGACTCTCTGGGACATTCGGGGGACTTGATCTGGCGGCCGCGGTATGCAGGGTGGACGGGTCGGAAGGTCTGTTCCGAAAATCGAGCGGCCCCAATTTGTCGGGTGGGGAAAAGTCACCAAATGGGTTTGCGTCGAGCGATCCCCACCGAAACCTTCGGCGTGTGTTCCCGGCGGTGTGAACGTCCCGTCTGACATGTTATGGAATGCGATGTGTTTTGATGTTGTGCTACGGTGTGGTCTATTATGTCATGTTATGGTATGGAATGATATGGCATATGATGGTGTGGTATGGTATGCGTTGTTATGTTATGTTATGAAGTGTGGTGTCATCGTCTGTGGTGTATGGTCCAGTATGCCATCGCGCACGTTAGTATTTTACAATGTCTAATGATATGATGTAGCATCGTATACAGCGCGATGTCATACCATGACTTGTCATACGTGCTGCGATGATATATGTCGTGTTATGTGTGGTGTGATGATGCGTTGTGTTGGGTGTCCTCTGTCACCGTCCGCATTGTTATGGTATGGTATGTTATCGTAGGTTATGATATGCTATGTATGTTGTTGATGCTCCAATGTGTCACAGCATTCGCTGTTATGTTGTGCTGTTATGTGATTTGATTTGATATAACATGGCATGTGAGGCACTGGCATGTTCTGAGTTGGAATGTTCATGCCTGCGATTGGTTAGTATGGTATGATTGCGTTGTCATGTTATGTAATGTGTTGTGGTGTGATGATGTGCGATGGCATGGACTGCTCTGTCATGGTGTGTTATGGTATGATGTGCTATGCCATTATATGGTATGGCATGCTCAGAAATTGTCTGTTGCGCGGTGTGGTGCAATGCTCTGGTCTGTCATAGATTACAGTGTTGTGTTGTACTGTGTGTTGCCATGTTACGCTCGGGGTGGGACGCTCGGGGACACTTGGCGGGCCTGGGGATCTGGCGGCCGCGGTATGCAGAGTGGCGCGAGGCGGGATATTCGGGGACACTCGGGGGACCAGGGAATCTGGAGGCCGCGGTATGCAGAGTGGGCGAGTCGGCGCGAGGCGGGACATTCAGGGGGCATTCGGGAGACCTGGGGATCTGGCGGCCGCGGTATGCAGAGTGGCGCGAGGCGGGACTCTCGTGGACACTCAGGGGACCTGGGGATGTGGCGGCCGCGGTAGGCAGAGTGAACGGTTCGGGATGCCTGTTTTTTACATCTAATAACCCCAATTAGTCGGGTGGGTAACAACTCTGAGGTCGTCTTTGGGCGTTGTTGGGAGTAATCGGAGCCCTCTTGACTTGGAGCCCCTCTGAGGTCCACTTGCAGCTATATTGGGCGATCTTGGAGCCAGAAGAGAGCCAAAGGAATGCGAGGACCGTGCACGACAAGCACACCGCACCACACAACATGTTTCCAGGAACGCCCCCGTATAAGCCGAAGCTGCGCACACACGAACGAGCCGCGATGCATCGCTCCGAAATTGGAGGCGCCACGCACTGGAGCACACCGTGCCGCACCAGACCGCGTCACAACACATCGCACGCCTCACCGCACAGCACCGCACAGAACACCAAGCCGCATCCTTCCAGACCGCATCACGCCCCGCCCAAGCCCACCGCGCCCCAACCCACCCAACACCACACGCCGCACAAACCGCGCCGAGCTACGCACGCTTACATTCGCGGCCTGGCACGCGGTGAAGCTTGGGCCCGTCGCACCGAAACACCAACACACCGCGTTTGCACAGTGGTTCACCGCGCGAAGCCCAGAACACGTGCACGAAATGCAGAGGTCGTTCTCTCGGGGCAGCTCCGCACAAGGTCACACCCCGAATTCCCCTGAGATGCCCTGCGCTGATCGCAGCAAATGCCATGCTTCCTGTGGCAGAACCGCGCACATGTGCTCCATACGTGACATGGGGTATGGGGGAGAACAGAAAGCGCCATGGCCTCGTGTCTCCCAGGTCTGGGAGCACATCATGGAGAAGAAGGCGCCCGATTGTCTGTTGCGGCCGCTTCCCTCCCCGACGTCCCCTTCTCTGTGTACTGGTATCGACTGGGTGCCCAGCGGCCCCGGTCTGCCCATGAGTACGTCTCCCGCGTTGTGTTTACTCCGTGTCGGTGTTCTTCTGCCCTGCAGGTGGAGGAGGTCAATAGGAATGATGAATGCCCTACTTCGCACAGTGCGAACCATCATGTCTTCACGCTCCCAGCATATCTTCTCGCCCTTTCCACATTGTCCATCGTACTCCGCCGTTGCCGTTGCCAATGTCCTCCTCGCTGGCCACCTAGCTCCGCCGCGCTCCACCTCCTTGAACTTCCCGCTGCTCCTTTGTCTTCCTCTCTCTGGCGGTGTGAAGCTTGATCGTACTGGTCAGCTGTCGAAGTTCGGCCTCGCGCAAGTGCTCACATGAAGCTCACCTCTCAAGAGCCCCCGTATGAAGTACACGGTTTCCTCAAGCGGTAGTATCTCAGTTGGGAACGACGGTATTGGTGAGTTGGCATACTTTCCTAGCAGACCCAGGATGCCAAGTTGGCCCACTAGACACTAAAACATGAGTTTCCGTGCACCCTATGGTTGTCGAGCATTCGGTTGCCTTGGCTTCTCCCTTGTGTGCATGATGCACCAGGATCGTTCGACGTCCGTGGTGTTGTTCGCCAGTTGCTCTTCCATCTTGTTGAAGTAATGTTTGCGTCACTGCACGGGACTCTGTCTGACCAGCTTGTCACCCAACCGTTTCCGCAAAGGAAAACAACATATTGGACGCACGGTGAGCAGCGGAATTGTTGTAGGTCTGAATTCGTCAATCGTGTTATCATTGGCGTCGTTCGCAATGGCCCTTCCCACTGTACAGTCGGGCCGCTGGAGAAGGAGCCCTTTTCGATTGGGAGGGGCTCAGTGGTCCTTTATTGTTGTACAGTTTGTCTTAGGTGTTCCTTAGGTTGTCCATCGGACATCGACGTTTTACCGATGGAAAAAAGAGGCCCCGTTCCTTATTTGGGGTTCTTGATGACAGCGTTTCGACTTTATCGCTCCACGGCGATGTCATCATGTTCAGTGCGCAAGTCCTCGAGGCCCAGATGATCCGACCGGGGGTCCCTCTCACAGGTGGGGGCCCCACAGGGTCTTCGCCTTCCCATTGTTTGTTGTTTTCCTGCGGGTGCAGAGTTGTGCTTCGAAAATGGCGCCCGTCCTGTTTGAGCATACCACGTGAATCCCAAATGAATGCGCCGACATTGCCTCATGCTCGGCCTGGCTGCATCACGGCATGCGGCGTTCGCAAGCTGAGTGCATCGCCAGCATTGGTTCCCACCATTGCCAGGTCCAGAACGCGCGAGCCGCCGCCAGGACTTCTGGGCAGTGTCAGTCACGCAACGCGATCTTTCCACGCTCCACGAGCAAAGGACGGTCTCCGTGTTCCCGGATAACCGCTGGTCTTTGCTCTTTGGGCGTCGCTTCAAAGGGGGGGGGGGGCGACAAGCAGGGGGGGAAGAAAGGTGCACCTCTCGGGCCCTAAAGGCCCCCTTTCGGGCTGGAAAGGGCCCCGTTAGGGTCCCCTTTTCTGCAACCCTCGCTGCCCTCCTAGAGGGGCCCTTTCGGAACCGAAAGGGGGCCTGCAGGGCCCAGAAGGTGCACCGTTCACCCCACCCCCGACCTGTCGCCCCCCCCCCTTACCGTAGGTTCGTGTCGTGTCGACCGGCGGCGACTTCGCCAGCGGCGTTCAATTTTGAACGCCGCGGGCGACCCAAAATCGTTCGATGTGGAACGATTTGGACGTTTCGGAAACGGCCGATCATTCAAGGTTGAGCGATCCCCGCGGTGACAGAAGCCAACGCCGAAGTCGGCACGACACGAACCTAACGTAAGCGACGCCCAACGGGAGCCTCATTTCCGCGGGTCCTTTGTCCTTGCTGCCCCTGCCGCGGAGATTATGTCATGGGAAGCCTAGGAGGTATGCGAACCGCGACCGCCTGCCCCAGGACACAATCGCGGCGGACGGCTGGGTGCCGAAGCAGACAGTCCAGGAAGTGCAGGGGGCCCACTCCTCCTCCACCTCCTCCTCCTCCTACTCCTACTCCTAGTCCTAGTCCTACTCCTACTCCTACTCCTACTCCTCCCCTCCTCCTATTCCTCCTCCGACTCCTCCTCCTTCTCCTCCAGGGGTAAGGCTTGAGGCCAGGGAGGAGGGAACGAGCAGGAGGAGGAAGAGAGGAAGCGGGGGGACCTGGATCTGGCCACGCTTTCGCGAGTCGAGCGGGCGACGCCAGGACGTGCGCGCCGCGCCGGCGTCAAAGCCAAAGCTTCTTGCGACCGTGTTGGTGCCGCAGTCGGGCTTTCGCAGCTCCTCCACGGGGGCCGATTCTAGAATGGTTCCGGCGGTGTCATCTGAGCTGCTTGACAATATCGTACATAGACAGAGAGATGGTCGGCCTTTTCATGTGAAGTACGAGTGGGGGGGGTCCCGCTAAGCAGCACGCGCGCCAGGGAAAGCGAAGAGATAAACAAAAGCGATCAGAAGCAATATGGGAATGGAGGAGAGGAACGTGTGTGCGTGTGCGGATGTGAAAGTAGAGTGGAGGGAAACGGGGGCAGAGTGGAGTCGAGACGATGAGCATGCAGCAAGAACCACCTCGGGAGCAGAAGTTTGAGTACAGCGGCGAGAGGAGAAGCGGGGATGCGCACGGGAATTGTCGAGCCAGAAGCATGCAGGAAGAAGGCCAGCTACAGTCAGGTCGCTGACATGCATGCAGTAGAAAGCCAGGCCAAGAAACACCCTGCTTGCCTCCAGGGTGCCCTAGGGGTTCTTCAGTTTCGGTGGTTTTGCTATGGGAAGCGTGGCGTTCCCACACAAAAAATCACGGGACGCCCCAGGGTCTCAGGGCTGGTTTTCTTGTGGAAGGTTTCGTTTGGACTGGAATCAGCTGTACCAATTGGCGTTCAGGATGGGGCTCTGGTTGTCGGGGCTGGTCCACAGAGTTCCGGGTCGGGGACGCAGTTGTTCGTGGCCAGGGCCGGCCGTGGCCAGGAAACAAACATCTTCCGTTCTATCTACATCCGGCGCTGCCCAATGCTGGCAGGTTGGCGGCAGCGAGCCAGAAGCATGCAGGAAGGAGGCCAGTATTGGGCCACGGGCGGGGGGGGGAAGGGAGAAGGAGAAGGCCTTCTCAGAAGGCGGCGGGACTTCTCAGGAGCCCTCGCGCCTTCTGAGAAGTTGGTTGCGTCTTCGGGGGAGGTTCAGAAAACTTCTCAGAAGGCTGGGGGCCTTTTCCGAGCCTTCTGAGAAGGCCTCCTCCTTCTCACTTCCCCCCCTCGCTCGCCGCCGAAGTCTTGCACGGCACTGAACTGCTGGGCAGGAAGCCTTCAAGACGGTGTTCCTGGAAGACTTGTTGGCACGCCGCGCGTGCCTTTCTCTGGCCGCCCTCTGGCTTCGGAAGCCTTCGAGCGACCTAATCGAGCGCCGACAACGCAAAACGCACAAGCGCGTCGGCGCACCCCTGGCGTATAGAAGCAGGGCACCATGCAAATATTGTGAAGGCCTTACGGCTGGTGCCGCCGACCCTGAAGGCGAGACATCCCCCTGGACCCCGGGGTCGGGGCCAGGGTTGGGGCTATGGCGGTAATCTGACCAGGCACACACCCCGGGGGACCTCCACAGGACCCCCCCGCGGGAACCCCCCCATTGGGACCCCCCCTCCCTTGGCGGGGAAGGGATCAAAGGGAAGGGGCTTCCCTTCGACTCAACTACGACGTTGCTCCGTTTCGCTTTGGCTGGCGCGAAGCGCAGGGAAAGGGGGGGAGCGACGACGACGACGACGACGACGACGACGAGGCGGAGCGGCGACGGCGACGACGGCGACGGCGACGGCGACGAACGGAAAAGCGCCTTCCACACGCCGACCGGGTCGGCGGATTCAGCCGATTGGTGCACTTCGCCAACCCACATTGCATCACCGTTCGAATCTACGTGGGTGTTCGTACCGACTGGGAAGTTGCTGGGTGGCAACACCCAAGTTGTCCTAGCAGTATTGTGGAGCTCGCGTGTGCGGGGGAAGAAGCAGTCGTTGGGTAGATTGACAGCATCATTCAGCGGAACACGTCCCCACCCAAGCTTCACCATAGAAGCCCAAAGCATTCAGAGATAGCAACCATTGAGATCATAAAAAAGTATAACTTATGTTATGTTGAGCCCCTCCGTACGTTGTCGGAGCATCGTATGCGATTATTGCAAGTCTCTGACCAACTAGGGGCTTCCTGGGGGACTCAAGGGCTTTGGGGGGTTGCCTTGGAGCAGATAGGGCATCATCGGGGATCGATTGGGACTGCGTCAGCCCATAATCGGGCTTGTCACCCACGGGTCCCCGATCTTGGGCCGCTCCTGGAGTTTTCGTTGGGGCCTTCCAATGGATGGGCATGATATGGAGTCTTTGGAGCCCTCTTGGAGCCCTTCTGGGCTCCACTTGCAGCCATCTTGGCTGATTGGGGCCACATTAAGGCCTCGGAAGCCCATCTCGAGCGAAAAGACAAGACAGCCATTTAGAAAACATAGATCGCTGAATGAGTTGGGCCTCCGAGAGGCCTCTATCGGTCTGTCTTAGGCCACCTTGGGGCCATCGTGGGGCTTCTTGGGGCTGTTTCCAGGGACGCCTCGGGGCCTGCCACTTGTTGATCCCCGCTCCTGTGCTGTTCTTGGCTTGACTGCGCTTGCGCTCTTTGGTTTTCGGAGCATTGCTGCGCTTCACTTTGGTAGGCATCCAGGCGATCTTGCAGCCACCTTGAGGCCTCAGAAGCCCAGCAGAAGCAAAACAGCGAGAACGCCCAAACCACTGAAACACTACGTGCTGAGTGGATGTTGTTGGCCCCTTGGGGGCTGTCTTGAGCCACCTCGGGGCTATCTTGGGGCCTCCAGTGGCTTTTTCAGGCCACCTCACGGCCTACAGCCAACCCGCATTGTAAGGATGAGCAATTGTTCAAGGTTACCCTTGCATCCTTCCCCTTAGGCCCATCAATGGCCGCTTTCGCGGGCCACCCCCCGAGCGCAAAGTGTCGACATGGCCTTCCAAGGCCCTTGCATCCTATTTCCCGTCCTTATTATACGGGTTGGCTGTACCACCCATTGATCCCCCCTCTTGAAGCCCCCCGTAGAGCTCTCCTGGGTCGCTCTTGGGGATCTTCGGAGGCTCCCTCGGGTCCTTCTCTCGGGCCGCCCCCAGGGGCCGCGACGCGCGCGCGAACTAATAATACGAATACAACCCTGGACCTGCTACTGGAGAGTCTGGCACGCGTTCGCCCCGCGGAGCATCACGGCCGATCTCCTGGACGGCACGACGAAGGCAGGCGAGTGTCCTTCCCCCCGATCCTCCTCTCACCTCCTCCGGCTCCCTCCGCGTTCCACAGACTCATCACCACCACCATCGGCATGAGCACCATTGCCGCTGTCGTTGCCTTTTTACCATTACCAGCATCAGCAGCAGCAGCAGCAGCAGCGGCGCTCCCCCTACTTCTGCCTCGGTCGGCGGCGCCGCCCGTGGACGCGGGCCAGGCCGCCCAGTTTCATGGTGTTAAGTCGGGCACGTCCCTCTACAGGGGGATATTCAAAAATAGTCAGAAAGTAGTCAGGGGACGATTTTTTTAGCATTCTGTAACATTGTTTGGAATATGTTTTGACTCTGCTTGATTTTTCGTTCAAATCCTTCTGTAGGGGGACACGCCCGACCTAATGATCGTGGGACGAGGGGTCGGGAGGCTGGTGGATCGGATGACGTGACTTGCTGCCTAGACTCAACGCTGGCGTACAGTGCGCAGTGTGTTGGTAGCACGGCCCTCATGTGGGGCCTCTGAGGTAAGTGGCTGCGGAGGGGGGCAAGCGCAGGTGGAACCTCACGCGGTTGTTTATGGTTACCCGTGGCAATTGAAAGACGTGTGATGTTCCATCGTGGCATCGTGAGCGCTGGTCCCGAAAGAGTGCCCGCCATGTCTGCGCGCCTGGTCGCCGGATCGCCCTAGAGGGGCAGCGCGAGCTCCGCTCGAGAGGGCATCGGGCTCAGAAGCGACTCCATACCGAGAATGATTGGCGCGAAAACGACGCTTAGAAGTCTTAAAGTGTCACAGCTGGTGTGACGAGCAGACTTCCAGGAGCCACCTGACTTGACCTGACCCCCGCCCCCGTCCACCTCATCCTCCTCATCCTGTTCCTCCTCCTCCTCCGCCGCCTCCTCCTCCTCCTCCTCCGCCGCCTCCTCCTCCTCCTCCTCCTCCTCCTCCTCCTCCTCCTCCTCCTCCCCCTCCTCCTCCCCCTCCTCCTCCTCCTCCTCCCACCCCCGCCCCCCCCCCCCTCGCCCTGCCTCCGCCTCCGAGCGCAAGAGGAGCACGGAGGAGGGAGGAGGAAGAGGAGGAGGAGGGAGAGAGGAGGAGGAGGAGGGGAGAAGGGGAGGAGCAAGAGGAGGAGGAGGAGGAGGAGGAGGAGGAGGAGGAGGAGGAGGAGGAGGAGGAGGAGGAGGAGGAGGAGGAGGAGGAGGAGGAGGAGGAGGAGGAGGAGGAGGAGGAGGAGGAGGAGGAGGAGGAGGAGGAGGAGGAGGAGGAGGAGGAGGAGGAGGAGGAGGAGGAGGAGGGGAGGAGGAGGAGGAGGAGGAGGAGGAGAGGAGGAGGAGGAGGAGAGGGAGGAGGAGAGGGAGGGAGGGAGGGAGGGAGGGAGGGAGGGGAGGGAGGGAGGGAGGGAGGGAGGGAGGGAGGGAGGGAGGGAGGGAGGGAGGGAGGGAGGGAGGAAAGAAGGGAGGGGGGGAGGGAGGGAGGGAGGGAGGAGGAGGAGGAGAGAGGAGGAGGAGGAGGAGGAGGAGGAGGAGGAGGAGGAAAACCAGCGCAAGCACAACACGCATCACTGCTACTGCAACAAACCACCCTTCCTAAATCCTTCTTCACGGGTCCCGACTAGAATCGATTGATTGTGGCACGTAATCCAGTGAAAGACATTCGTCAGAGAAACCTCAATCGTACCCGTACCGAAATACCACCCCAGGGATGTCAACGCCGCGATTCAACGTGATTGCTGCGCCCTGACATTCCTTAATCGTGCCAACACAACACCTATCCCGGGATTTCGACACCTCGAATAAACATTGTTGTTGAGTCCTGGCAATTCTCAATTGAGCCAGAACGCAATTCTTGGGACTTCACTCTACGAATCTTTGGAGCGGCTGCAAAGTTGTAAGACGAATGCGCGCGGCGCAAAGGCGAGATCCACCTTCGAAAAGGAACAGCATTCCATCCTTGAAAAGATCAAAACTGTTCAGACGCATGTGCGCGGCGCTAGGACGAGATCCAGAGTTTGAAAACGACCCGCCCTCCATCCGTGAAAGTGGTGCAGCCTTTTAAGACGAATGTGAGTGACATTCAGGCGATAGACACTGTTTGAAAACCATTCGTCCTTCATCCTTGCAACTGGTAACCTGTAAGACGAATTTGCGCGGCGCTTTGCAATAGGAGCAGTTTGACAACGGCACGCGCTCATCCTGGAAAGTGTTCAAGCTTCTGGACCACAACAGGTGAGGAGGTCTCAGGCGAAGCTCTCGGCCTGCCCTCAGGGACACGTCTGCGGCAGTTGTTCCCCAAGCAGCGTTTGCATCTGGAGGTCCCTGCCTGTGTGTCAGGAGGACCTGGGCCTGTCTGGTGGCCTGGCGGCCCTGTGGTCGCCGTCGCCGACCCGTCGCCGCCTCGTCGCCGCCCGTCGTCTGCACTTGCCTTGCAGTCTGGCGGCTCCCTGGTCGCCGTCGCCGACCTCGTTGCAGCCTCGTCGCCGCCCGTCGTTTGCGCCTATCTGACGGTCCGGCGACTGTGGTCGCCGTCGCCGCCTCGTCGCCGCCCGTCGTCTGCGCCTGTCTGGCAGTCGGGCGGCTCCGTGGTCGCGGTCGCCGCCCCGTCGCCGCTTCGTCGCGGCCCGTTGTTTGGGCCTGTCTGGCGGTTTGGCAGCTATGTTGTCGCCGCTGCCGACCCGTCCCCGCCCTGTCGCCGCCCGTCCTTCTGGGCCCATGTGGCGGCTATGTTGTCGCCGTCGCCGCCCCGTCGCCGCCTCGCATAGATTGCAACGCATAGGGGACCGCACCGCCGCACCGCCGACCCTTTGGGGGCGAGTCGCTGTCGCGGCTTCTGGGTGCTGCGTGCCTTACGCGTGTATTTATATCGGAGACGCTTACAGCGAATCACCGCCGCCCCCTGCCTTTTGAAATCGTCCATGTGGCCGAGCGTTGTGGCAAGAGCTCTGCCAAGCTATCGGACCATGTGTTCCCCCAATCATTCTGGAAACCCTTTGGAGAACACTTGGGGGAGGATGGTGGGGAAGATCAGAAGAAGGAGGAGGGGGAGGAGGACGAGGAGAAGGAGGAGGAGAAGGAGGAGG